GACCCAACATAATTTGGGTTTTGGCTCCGATTGTCGGCGCATATACAAGAGAGCCACCTAGTTCCTGGAACGCGTCTCATCGTTCTCAGGCTAGGCTACGCCCCTAACGTCCCCTAAAAACCGCTCAATACTATGTGCTGCAGCGATCAGAAGGCTAACTCTTGTACCATGAGGATGGTCGGCCAGTGCCGTGGAGACTAGAAGGGCGATGCTACCCTATCGCCAGTGACGACAAGCTTGGCATCTCTACCGACGACCAATGCCATGCTAGTCTCCATTACAAGCACCATCTTTACCTCCACCGACGAGGCTGAACGGCAGGGCGGGCGGAGTCTATGTGAAGGCGACGTCACCAACACCGACGCACGGACCGATGAGGCCGTGGACTACTGCCGGCGCCTACACAAATCTACATCATCACTACCATCACAATCATGCATGGGAGAACGTGAAGCGAAGACCGACGACGACGACCAGCGCAGCTTAATCGGAGGTGTCTCGCGGGTTTAACCCGCGAGAGTAATTAACCGGGTGTTTTCCGAGACCCCGGGAACTAGGAGAACACAATCGCCAAGTCAGATCCACCTCACCGATGGGCTGTGGAGCGCATTTGACTAAGGATTTTGTATTTTCGTAATTCCTTGAGAATTATAATAAAATACATTTTCCTTTGTCCATTTTATTTTTGTGTACGTGGTTAACTGGCATGCCCGCACATCTTACTTTATTCTACTTCCCTGGGCGGAGAGACAAAAAGTTATTTTTTCTCTCCAAACAACTGAGATATAAAAACAAAACCCTAGCCTTATCCTCTTTCTCCCCATCTCCACACCACATAGGCGGAGGCGGCGCCCACACCACACAGGCGGAGGTGGCGCAGGGCGCCAGGGCGCACCGCGCACCGGCACCGTGCATTCCTCAGGATCTCGTCGTCGCCAGTTGCCCTCTCCCCTCACTTCCTCTCCCCTCTGGCCTCCGCCCTCTCTCCTTGCCTCCTAACCCCTCCCCTCCGGCCTCCCGACTCCCATCCTCTCTAGTATCCCTCTCACTCCGGTCTGCCGACAACGCACGGGCGGCGCGCGGGGAGGCACACGGGCACTGCACAGCGAGGGCGAGGCGGCCGGCGAGCCACAAGGGAGTTGTGGTCATGCATGCTTCATGGATGGAATGATGGATCAATATGTGTTTTTGCTGATTTTTTTGTGATGCTATTCAAGCATTCATGCTATTTTTGATGGTATGTACAATATTTGCTCTTACCGAATTGATGATTGCCTTGTATTTTTGGTGCTAATTGGATGGAGATGCTACCCAATGCGGGCCCCGGAAGTGTTGGAGACGGTGCCTGATTTGGCCCCGCATCTCCAGTCGGGGCCAGGGGCGGTGGGTGAAGTCGAGGGTCGGGGGAGGGCCGTTCTAGTCCAACCCGGCCCCGCACCGCCCCATTGCCATCCCTAAGCGCCTTTGCATCAAGACCACCCGTGGGTCCGAGGCCCATCCTACTAGCTGAAGCACGAAATGGGAGAGCCCATCACAGTCACGCAAAGTTGGTGGGCAAGAAAGAACAGAAACAACTTCTGCTTCACTCTCATGAAAGAAAAATAGGTTACTGGCAGTGTGGAATGTGTGCATAGGAAGAGGGTGAAAACTGTATGATCCGCTAGCGCAGCTATGGGCCATTGGCATGACTGGTTAGGTTACTGCCTCCTATAAATACGTAATAGGTTAACATTTTAAGATGTATAATATGGTTTATAGTTATGGGTAGTAGTTACAAGTTGTTTCAATGTTTCAACTTCTTTTCCTTTGTAAGTGATTTGTTTTTATGAGATAGTGGAGGAAACATATTTAGATTCAATAATCCCTTATCTATCAAACAAATGTGTAAGATTGAGCATATATAGTCGTACCCATAGTTCCATTCGCCACAAATATATGGCCCGGTGCGAAGAATAGCGTACATGCTAGCATTCTGTATCACCTTGATGTCGTAGTTCCCCTTAAAGTTGTACTACATATCAAAAATTTCATGAAGGTCAGGAACAAGAACAATGCTGGAATAGATTAAAATTATCCAAAATGCACATTTTGTATGAGGTGGCGTATATTCGTAGTTTGAACTGTAATTATTATTAACTATAACTGAGGCTCTCCTATAAGATCCCTCCATAATTTTAAGAGCACTAAAAATAGCTGGAATTTTCACGTCTGACATATTAAAAAAAAAGCTAAACCGTCCAAACTACATGAAATTTCGATTAAACTACTTTGTTTCTTACATTGGTTAGAAATCAAGAATCTGGTTTGCAAAATAACCTACATGCAGGGATACTACGATCTATACGCAAGGAATATAAGGATGTATAAACTAAGCTTAATTTATCTAAATAATATATAATTATACTCGTCAATTGAGCAAATCCCGTGATTCTATTTCATTATCTAAAAATATACTCATCAATTAGCTAGGCATATAATCATTTGGATAAATTAGCAACAAGTTCACAACAAATTTCTTATAATTAGGTTGGTTTTCATGGTATACTTTATTAATCGTTTTGTTGAATCCCTAGTGGCCCAAAACTCTTCAGTAGGCTAAAATTGTTTTATTCATGTCGATAATTAATGCTAAAATATAATTTTTTCACTCAATCATATTGTGTGTCAAAGTGCCATGTCTGCTATCCGACTCAGCCAATTAACATTATTGCCAGCCCACCCCTGACACAATTTTTATCAATTCTTGTAGCGATTATATATATAATATAAAAGATTACTGAAATTGATTGAAATGGAACCGCATACCCAACGGTAGGTTACATTCTCTCTCTCGGTTTGAACCATCAGGCGGGTTGATGCTACTACCTAGTTGTAAATTAGGAATACGCTCGCTGCATTGCCTGGTGGAGAAAACCGGACCGGTGAGTGACCCAGACAACCCCTCGGTTCACCGGTTCGACGGACTGACTAGGGAACTGTCGGTTGAACCGCGGTTCAATAACTATAATATATATATATATATATATATATATATATATATAATGTATATTTCCTCTACTTCACAAGTGAAAAAGCGGTAGGATGGCTAGAGCCAAGTGCTCTCAGCCTCTCAGTGCGCAGACCAGGGTTCGAGTCCTCACGCCACAAGCATTTCTCTGATTTCAGGTACAGTGTGTGTTGCGGCTTTAGCTTTTGGAAACATCTCTCACTTACGACCGTTTGGTTGATCGCAGCAGCTTTTGGAAAAGCAGCTACGAGAAAGTCAAAAAACCCGTTTGGTTGATCACCTGTGGTTTTTGGGAAACATCTCTCACTTACGACCGTTTGGTTGATCGCAGCACGGGATGAGAGAACAGGTGGCGGAGTCGTCGCCATCCTCTCCTCGCGCGTCCCAACCCAAGGCAAGCTGGCGCCGAGCGGGGACGAGCAGGGCGGCGCCGAACAAGGACAGGCGGCGATCGGCCGGGGACGAGCAGCGTCAGCGCCGAGCGGGGACGAGTAGGGCGGCGTCGGGTGTTGCCAGCGTCGAGCAAGCAGCGAGGTCGTAGGACGACGAGATGGACGTTGTCCTCTCCTCTACCTCCGCCGCGCTGGGAGGAGGCCGGCGACGGGAGTCAGGGGGCGCGGTGGGGGAGAAGCTCGCCGTCTCGCCGGGAGGTCGCCGCCTTGCCGTTTCGCCGCGTTGCCGGGAGGTCGCCTCGCCGGGAGGAGAAGGGGCGAGAAGGGGTGGGGTTGGCGTCGGACGGGGAGGAGAAAGGGCGGCGTCGGGCGGGGAGGAGCAGGGGCGGCGCCGCCGTCGGGCGGGGAATGAGGTGGCCGGCCGGCCGGAGGGCAGGGGCGGCGCCGGCCGGAGATGCGCCTCTCCTCCCACCTGCTGCGCGTGGTGCGGATGCGGGATGACATGAGACGAGATTATCGAACCGTTTTCTTCGTAATGGTTGAGGTGGATAATTTTTTTTCCCAAAAGCAGGTGAAAGTAGGGGGTAGAGGTGCTTTTGATTTATACTATACCAAAAGTTAGCTTTGGGCAAAAGCAGCTGCAGCTTTTAGGCCCTTTGGTTGGCTTTTGGCTTTTGCAAAAGTAAAAGCAGGTTGAAAAGCCTAACCAAACACACCCTTAGTCGGTTCAATCCGCTCAACCGAACTGTGGAGTCCTCTAGTTCCAGTTTTTTCCGGTGAATTGTCGTCCCACCTCATGATGTAGTCATCGGAGACACACAGCGGGCCAAACCATCGACCACACGTACACGATGTCCAGATAGGAGCAAAACGCTGCAGGTTTCCCATCGGAGTTGCGCTAGGTGATCTGGACTTCCGATTCTCTCAACAGTTCGGAAAATTTTGTGTCGTGATTGTTTAGCTACTTAATTGGGTTGTTCACTTCTGTTTAGATTAGGCAAGTGGTCAGCTATTAATGGGCTGGTTCAGCCCAACTAGCTATTAGGTAGATGGTTGTATGGTGCGTAAACGTAATGGCATAATTATGAGGTGAGGGGAATGTTGCCCGTTAGCTAGAGATGAAAACGGTCAAAAATGATATCATTTTCTTATTAATTTTATAGAAACATTCAAAAAAATCTTCATATATTATGAGTTTAGCTATTTAGTGGTAATTTCAATACGATGCTAGCAGAAATTAGAAAAGCTAATTTTTTAGAAATGGTCATCATCGGTAAAGATTTTTTTAAGATAATAGAATAGAATGCCAGCATTTGCTCAAAGAGTTACAGCCAATCATCAGTAAATATATTATTGTTGTATTAGTTTTGTGGAAAACGATATATTAAAATGGTCGGGAAATTTTCGTACTATGCCCGTAATTCGTATCTGTATTAATATAGAAATGAGGCGTTCACCCCTTCCAATCCTATATCTCAATTCAACATGTTAAATCTCTACCGTTCATTCGCAGATCAAGTGTAATCACCGATTCCGCTCCTCCGCCCAGGTGATTACACCTGATGGCGATGCCCACGCGTCCGCTTTACCACTCCCTTTGACACCGCCCCTCGATCCTCGCTGCGTGCAGCTCCGCCAAGCTCCAGGTAGCCCTGGAGCGTGGAGACGACAAAGCTTTGTTACGACGGCCGACAGGTGGTCCTGAATTCCACCGCCAAAATCAGGTTAGTTCATCCCTAAATCATGTTTCCAATCCCATATCATCTGATCCCCATTGTCCCAACATCGATCAATTGACTTCTTAGTGCGTACCAAGCTTTTTCACTCGGCTCACCTCAGGTCAGTGTTTTTCTGGTTTCTTGGTTCAGTTGGTTGTCTCTAAGTTGATGCATCATATCTAGCCATCAGGAATATAATGTAGTGTTATTTTCCAAAGAAGCTGTGATTTGACACTCAATAAGAATAATTTGGATGTGAAGAATTGATTCAAGTTAACAGTGTGAGTTTGGATGGAATCTCTGAACCCATTTTGGGAAAACAAGCACGGGGGACTGTCGCTAGCTACATAGCTGCATCCAAGATTTGATATCACAGTATGCATGAGCATTTATCAGTCTGTCTGTGACAAACATCGTCTCCTCAAGTCTGCCTGTAGTTGTATGTTCGTCCAAACATGCACAAATTTTGAATCTTTTGTCACTGTGGAAATCATATTATTTCACTTTTCTGATGACCTGATGTAGATGGCCATAAACTCTTGCAGGAACAAGAACAACCATGAACTACTTCCTTGATGGGCGAATAAAGAGGGCATAAATTATTTTTCTATGTGTAGCACGCTTCCTCATCACCGTCTTCCTGGGCTCTGTTGTGCACTCTTCTAACGCCAAGGACGTGGAGGAGAAGCTAAGTATGTCAAGATTAAATTTGAGCACAACCAATCTGTATTTTCTTTGAGAATAAACTCCTTCTGATGTCAAGAAGTACAATCTGTTTGCGGGGGACAGTAGAGGCACAAAGCTCAGCACTGATGTTGCTGACAAAGATAGTAGTTTCACCACCTGAAAGAGGACCAGATTACACAATGCAGAAGGTAACAAGTAATGAAATTGCTATCAATTTTTTTCAGAAAATTGTTGCCTGATCAAGAAGAATTCAAGGACGGCGGAGATGAAGATTTTGACACTGGCACCGAAGAGTTCATCATTTAGATTAAGAAGAGACGATCAATCAAGGCCAAACCACCCACCCTGTCTGAAGATTTGTGCAGCTTAAAAAGAACTCATCTACCACCAGAAATTCAGAATAAATTACAGAGCACATCTGCTCTTATTTTGTTCATTTCCATTTTCGGTAGAGCATTGCACATGCATCTCATGACAGGAAGATGATTAAAGTACTTCTCTAGGTTTTTCCAGCAAATGTGATACGTGATTTAATGCAAATTATTTGTTTAGTTTGAAGGCTTTCCGAGAATCATTTGGAAATCTGGGAATTAATCGTTGGTAGCTCGAAGGAATTAGATGTTGATTGCGATGCATAATCTAATCTATCTTTTGCCTTTCTCAGCAGATATTGCAACAATCAGGATCTCCATACATGATGTAGCCTGGTCATTTGAAAAGAGGCCATAAAGAAAGCTCGGTGTAGTGCATTGTGTCTCAATGAGGATGTACAAGCAGCAAAGCAGTGATCCAAATGTACTTATATAGTAGAACTTGTCCCATTTTACAAATAATGTGCAACGAATTATTGTCTATTGCAAAAATAAAAGTCTGTGGATGGAAAATCTACTTCCGATCTTCAATTATCGACAAAATGAGAAAAAAAATTGTGAAAAAATGTGATTTAGTTTCCTTTTATTTTGGGCAAAATTATTACAGTGGTGATGAATCAGCAAGATGCCTCCCTTTAACAATTAAATAAAATATGGTTAGATGTAACTACATATATAGTTTTATTACTGTTTGCTTCCCAATATTTAGAGTTCTATATTAGATGAGATTATCGTTCTTGTGATAATCTTTATTGATTGATTGGTGCGTAAAAACCATGTAACGAAGTGTACTAATGTATTATGATACCAGATAATGTAGTTTTTGTTTTACTTCCACAATAGGATGAATACATTTATCTAATTTGAGAACTGTTTGTTGCCATTACGGTACTAGCTAATATCCTCAGAGTAGATGAAGATTAATGTTGACGAAGTACAATGGGACTAGCAGGTTGATCAATTGTTTTGGTCCCTTTTTATGCGTTTCTAAAGTTAAAATAACTATGTAGTGATAACATGATTACTTTTGCTTTTTATAGGTTTCGCAAGGATGTCTTATAAATTTAAATTTAGTCAAACAGATTACATATGTTTCAATAAAGGTAGTTTGTAAATTTTGATTGTGATTGTCCTTATAAAGTATATTATAAAAATGTGCATTCCATGTGCACAATTACTAGTGAGGAGAAAAGCATGAGAACGAGAACTTCTATTCCACCACAGCTTAGTCGTTGAAAATGGTTATATAGGAATGATATTCCACCACAGCTTAGTCGTTGAAAATAGTTATATAGGAATGATAGCAAAAGGATAGTATATGATACCATGATAATTGCATGCCCTACCGCACTTCTCTATATAATATCAATACCATACATGTTATATTTGTTATCTGCGTGATAAATTTAGAGCTTTTGAACCTTTGCCTTCTAAATCATAGTTATTATGGAGTGATTAAAGCCTTCTAAATCATAGTTATTATGGAGTGATTAAAGGTCAGCATGAGATATTAGAGAAAAACAATTAACCAAGATATTTTTATGACACGAAATACATGGCTCTAGCAATTAGAGCATCACCAACAGTATATTCTCAAATCCTTCCCAAAACTGATTATGAGATATTTTAGTCAAACAATCAGATCTAACATATCCCATATAGCCCTGTACATGATGTTGAGTTAGCATTTTAATTTTTTCATTTCCTTAATTTGAGGGGAGGCTCCAACTCTATTTCTGGCATGTCCCTCCTTTTCTTCGCCGCTTCTATCCTCTACTTCATTGCTAGCACATTCCTCCTTTATTTCTCCTCTTTCATCATATACTTCCCGGGCCACTGGCATCGGGACAGGGAGTGCGTCGTGTAAGGAAAGAAACGAAAATTTTAGTTTAGTTGGAAGTTTAACAAGGCTCATTTTAGTTGTTGGAATTGAATTTAGGCTTCATCTTATAACTTCAAAAAATTTTACGGATAGATTATTGCTAATCTATTGGTAATGCTATTACTCACTCCGTTCCATAGTACAAAGATGTGTCCATTTCTACTTGACCCAAAGTATAAGTGAATTTGGTATAGTATTTGTCACATATCCATCAACTCCAATTCAAATTTCTACTTATTTTAACCCCAACTACCAACTCACCTACAACCAAAATCACATCGAGTAAGGATGTTCTAGTCTTTTCTTGCTATCCTTAATATTGCCCAAAAGAGAATAATCGTAATCACATCTCATAACCATATTCTAGTCTTTTATTGTTATCCTTAATCTTGCCTAAAAGAGAATAATCATATAATAGAGGAGTATCAAATAGACAAACATATAATTGATTAATGCTCCGATCCCAATTTTGTTTTACATTATATGCCGTCGATATATACTAAGGACATATGTGATTGACCATATTATCTAGATCAACTTATAATTCGCGGATATTCACATACTACTGCGGCGAACACACAAATGGGTGTAAATGTCGATCTTTAGTACTTGCATATATGAAATAAAGAATAAAGCCATGGTGTTGAATGATACTAAATTGCTATGTTTGATTAAGACAACTATCTGAGTGGGAAAATGGTGTCGTTATTTAAATATGCTTGTTTTTTTTCTCTTTGTATCTGATTTGCATTGTTTTTATTGTTAGGTTGACTCGGGGTAAGTATTTGGAAACAAATATTTGACATCATGGCTATAGGTCTGCTACTTACTTTGTGGCTACTTAGATAGCAGTACTATACTTTGCTGGCTATTTCCGAACAATCTAATTTTTCATCTAGATTTTAAGAAGTTGAAGTTGTAGAATCCAGAAAAAATGAATCAAAAGCTAGAAGCTAAGAACCAATATTTAGATTCTCACAAGCTGACTAACAACCAACTGCTTATTAAAATATTAAGCGTCCATAACATACCATAGGACTTAAACTCGAGTGAGCATATCAGTTAAATTACGATCACTTTTTTTTCCGACTTGATGGTCTGTTTGCTTTATCCTTTTTCTGACGTGTTTAGTTTGATGCTTTTACAATTGTGATTGTTTGGGCAGGTGCCGATGATCCGTGATACCAGCTGATTTAATTTGGCTTGACCATACTAATGAACATAATTAAGGTTGTTTAAAGAGGCCCAGTTACACAGTAGGTGGGTAGCATACCAAACACCATCAGAACTTTACCCTACAAAATGTGCTTTATCTTTTTCTTCACACAAATATAGCGTGAATTCAATTCACGTTCACACAAATTGAACGCCAAACGAAAACAAACCACTCCTTTTCAGATAGCGAATTTTTTTTTGGGTAATAAGGCATCAAAACAAAACCGGTCCTAATTGGCAGTGTTTTTTTTTTGTTTTGTTTTTTACGGACTTAAAATGAGCCGAAGTAAACGAAATCCTGAAGAACTTCACCATGTCATTCTAGATTCCTAGTACATCCTCACACAGATAAACAGATTCCAAGTACATCCTTACACAGATAAACTGCAGATAAACTGTTCCCATGTGACCTTGACATCTCCCACCCTTTTGTATAGCTTAAAGCAATTACTCCCTTCTTCCCTAAATGTTTGACGCCGTTAATTTTTCCGTTAATTTTTTTAAACATGTTTGACCGTTCGTCTTATTCAAAAACTTTTGTGAATATTATTCAAAAGATTGAGTAGTAGTAGTATATTTAACAATGAATCAAATAATAGAAAAAGAATTAATAATTACTTAATTTTTTTAATAAGACGAACGGTCAAATATGTTTAAAAAATTCAACGGCGTTAAATATTTAGGGACGGAGGGAGTACATATTTACAACAAGCGCGGTTGTGCATGCAACAAAGATTGCACAAAGTTGCATCTAAAGTTAGTAAATTACCAACAAATATGGGACACGGTATGCCAATGATCCAAGATGAATTCAATTCAATCAGTACAACGCCACAGATATGGAAGCAGAGGATTAAGCACGAACTACCAACACACATCAAATAGCACAAGCACAAAACAATTTACTATGCATGTCAAACAAAGGCACAGAAAACAGAGCATCAAGTGTCAAAGCCAGAGTAGACGCCACTCCCCCTCAGAAGTCGCTTCTCTTCTTCAACGTAGTTCTTCCCCCTGCTAGCCTGGCCACGATCTCTCTTCCGCTTTTCCTTCTGTGAGAAGGAAGCATCTTTATTCTCTTTCTCCATCTGCCTCGGCTGCGGGTTTCGCACACCAATAAGCTTTTCTCCCTCAGTTACTGCAGTTCTTGTGCGCTCCCGTTCTTCATAGGATTCAGTTTGATCTTCTTTGTCGTTGCGATCTTTCCCGGTGGACCAAGACCAGTTAGGCTCAACCTTTGGAGGGGGCACCGTCAAGACAGATGGGCCGCCACGATACCCATGCCGGCTCAAAGCATTGAAATCCACACCACCAGGTTTCTTCTTCTTCGACATAGCTGTTGTTCAGAGAGCTAAAACCAATGTTAAAATGAACACTAACAATGAGAGGTAATACTCAGAAACATGCATCATCTGGAATCCATAAGGCTTTGTTAGGATTTACCAAAACCAAACTGTGCAAGCTTACTGATTACAGCAATTAAAAAGACAACAAAACAGACAACCCAAACCAACGTCTTCTACTACAATTTAATTTTTTTTTTCTCAAAAACGCTCTACTGCAACTTTATGGGAGGGAACACTGGATCTATGTAGGCATGATACATTGGAGCTGATGCCCAAAGACTGGCTAAATGTTGACTAGAGGTGGTCAACCTATGGACTTCTTCAGTGATCCAAATAAGGGCCTCAGCTTTCACAGGATGGATGATAGCATCCAGAGGCCGGTGCTCATCATCACTCCCAACTCTCTGCTGATCCCACTGTTTCAAGAGGACATTGGTAAGGTAATGTAAAGGCTGCTTATATAACTGCTTCACCGACCTGCCGAGTCCCAGCCATGTTGTGCATGGGATTACAGATCCACGGTGAGCAGGAACTGGAATATGCTTCATATACTCTTGATACATTTCAGCCTTCCTGATCAGTGCACCTGCATGATCTCATTATAGTAAGCATGGAAATTTGTATCTCTACGTAGAAAGGAAAAAAACCTTAAAACTACATGAGCCAATCCAAAGCAGAACGCTATTGTCCATGTCTGAAGGGTATAAAATCCAGCTCAAAGCCTCTATTAGTGCTTGAGAACTAAAATTATACTCCATCCACAAGAGTTAGACCTATTTCATATTTGAGTTTTTTTTCCAAATAAGTTGTTCCTATTTGTAGTGTCTATGCATCCAAAACTTAAATGGAGAGGTAAATTAAATGTTTGATTAAAACCCAAGGAGCCATCGTAATACTCATTGGTTGCATGCGTGCATACACTTCTTGATCTTTGTTATATGCAAGATGAGTTAATTTCTCTTTGGTCTTGGTGACAAAAGTAATAGGTGTAACTTTTTGTGGAAGAAGGAGGGAGTACTAATTTGCTAACTTATTTTGTAGTGTTGGTCTCTGGCTCATCCCATAGGGTATATAGAGAAAGCATAGGACTCGACTGTTGAAGCTCCAAGGTAACGGGCAACTCATGATAATTCTTTGAATGACAGAGTATTAATTACATACTTAGTTATAAGAGATAAATGAAACTTAGATAGACTTATTATAGTGGTGTTCATAATTAGCACAAAATCATATTAAAAACTCCAAGAATTTTTTGGCCAAATCAGCATGTAAAACCAGGTACAGATATAACCTGCAAGATTGTCTGGATGCAGGCACTATGAGCCTGTTAATATAAGTGGTATAGCCAGCAGTAAATACCATTGTTTGGGAGACAACTTTTCTTAAAATGTCCATCTTTTAATAATGGCAACAAGTGGACAACTTTCAAACTCAAACCTCAACTGTGAAAATAACATGTGGGCAATATTAACATACAGGGAAAACAGGGAATTCCTCCATGACAATTGCGATAACTCAAATATCAACAATATCACAATAAATTCATGTACTTCAAAATACTGAACATTCACTTGGTCACATGAAATCTATACTCTATATAGAATGCTAAAATAACATATAGCGCGTAACCTTGTAAGAATAGAACACTAGCTAAGGTAATGTTGCTTAGTTTCAAAAGAAAACCCATGCTTAGTTTGTTCTTTAGCAAAGTCTAAGAAAAATGAATACTACCACTAGAGAAAAACACGTGAGTTCCCCCAGTGTACTGCTATATAATTTACTGTTATATCAATCCCAATCAATATGAAAAGAACAAGCCCCAAATTTCCATAGATGGCTGGCCAAAATAATCTTAAGATAACGTTAACGAATCTACAGTAATGCTGATTCTCTGATGTGAAAGGTAACGGGTAAATAACCACTATGGCTTTGCTTGAGTGGAAGGGGACTAGATCCAATCCCTTTGGATAGATATAGAAAACTGCAGTTAAAATCCCTGGCCATCCAAATGGATAGATTCTGATCCCTGCATATAGAAACAAGCCCTAATTTCACAAATAGACTAAATTTACAGTCCGAAACAACATAAGCTAGCTAGGAAACACAGACTAAAAATCCATACTCCATGTTGAACTCATATCTCACAGGCAACACACAATACAGACATTCAAAACAATCTTGTGAGAGCATAGCGAGGCCATATAGCATGCTAACAAACCAAAAATATGAAAAATCTCCTCGTGAGCTAACAAAAAGACAGAGACAGATCACTGGGATAGCTCTCACCGTCTGGTGCGGCAGCTTTGGTGGAATTGGGCAGCCCGAAGGCGTTGTCCCCTTTCCCCTTCCCGGCTTCATCGTCGGAATCCGAGCTCAGGGAGTCGTCGGAGGAGACTTCCAGCGGCTCCTCCCACGGCGCCGCCCTCTTCATACCTAGCCGCACCCGGCCACCGCCACATCTAGGGGGGTTAGCGTCACGCCGTTGGCGAACGGTGGAGTCGAGGCCGTGGATGATGATGAGCGAGGGGGGGCAATGGACGGGTCCTCACCTGGATCACGGAGACGTCACCGGCGGCACGGCGCGCCGAGGGAGAAGCGGCGCGGCGCGCGAGGGAGAAGGTCGCTGGCTCGCTCGCCGTCGCTTGTCGCCGGCGGCGGGGACGACGAGGCCGAAACCCTCGATTGCTGTGTTGGGCTTTGGATCGCTGGATGAGGGTGGAGACAGAAGGAAAAAGTACACCTAAGGTACCTCAACTTGTCCGCGAAACCATATATGGGCACCATGGTATCAAATGCATAAAATCACTCAACTTTTTCAAAATTTTCAAATTATTAGTATATACCAAGTTATAAGAATTTGATTTATACCTACACCTATCAACAAAACAACTCAAATTTAACTTTATCTCACAATCCATAATTACATACCTAACTAATTATATGTTTGGATGCTATATACATAGAATCAAAATCTAATATAACAAAAACAAGTTTAAATTCAGTTCAAACTTGCTTTGAACTAGTTAGTAAAGTTGTTAATGTTAATACCTAAATATTTGAAAAAGTTTCATACTCATTTGAATTGGGTATATACTCAATTTCAACAATGGTGCCCGGGCACCATGGAGCACCAAACAAATTTAATATATATATATATATATATATATATATATATATATATATATATATATATATATAGGAAGCCTATATTCTACTCCCAGGAGTAGCTACTCCTATTGTAACCATCGGACACCTGTCCAACTCACATCAGGGTTTCGGGCTTCAACTCACTAACGGATTGTGAGAAAAGATCCATTAAACCAGCGATGCAGAAACTTGAATATTCTTTTTTTTTTGAAAATTCGGATCACTGCGCTGTGTTCTGCATGGTGAGTCATTTTGAATGTTCTGCATGCATGGTTTGTTACCCGCACGCATGCACGACCGAGCGACCAGGAGAGTAGTTAGTGTGGAGGCTGCTGTATTGATACTCTATTTAAGTTGACGGTGATGGAGGACAGAAAATGAGGACCACAATTATCTTTCGGATTTGTGAGGAAGAAGATTTTGTTCTACAGGTTTTTGATGGAGCAGAAACTCTCCGGTGGAAAGGGCAGAATGTCGTCGGCGAGGTCTGTTGCGTCGCCTTCCGCGGCGCGAGTAGGCGGAGGCTCGTCGGCGCCTGATGTCGAGCAGCAGAAGTCGGTGGCGGCCGTAGGCGCGTCGTCGCCGGTGAGTAGTAGCAAGCACCATCATATGGCGAAGGCAGAAGATGGAACCATTACAGTTAATGGTGACAAGCAGCAGAATCCTGCCGCAGATAGGTACACATTGAAGTTTAGTTTTAGTTTATGTTCTGTTGAAATTTTTTCTCTTGTTTGTTTGTTTGGCTCTAACTGGTTATTGCGTTATTTGGTCATCAGGAATGGTTTTGTGCGTTGCATGGATACTGCTGCCCGGAGTGAAGTGATGAACCACTCTCTCCAGAAATATGTCATTCATTTCGATGGATGTCATCCTCTTCCCATGAGAAATCCTAGGAAGAGATGCGCTTGGTGCTCACTCCGTGATATTCGCGCGGCTTGCGACATGAATTTCAGAAGCAACGAAACAACCCGGGTCAACAGTAATGGTTGCGAACATGTGTCCAATGAAAATATGTAGACAATAGTGTGATGATCAGGAAAATTGTAATAAGGGCTTGCTTTCTGCACGGTCGTAGATTAGTCGTACGAACTGTCTCTAATTTTGTATGGTATTTTCTATGAGGAAAAAGCGAGTAGTATCTAAGTTTAGAAATCTGTATCTTCTGCTGTTTGGGAAGTGAAATAAAATTGAGATGTTATCCTTTCATTTATCTATTTAAGTTGTGTGTACTGCAAACTCCCTGTTGTCATCGTGAATGCAATCCTTCACCAAGATGAAGTTCTTCGAGCAGAATATTGTACAAGAATGGAGCAAAGATTTCGAATTGGTTTCTGTGAGTGTAGCGTTGCGTACTCGGAATGTTTGTTATAGATGCTATTTTTGTGGCGGTATGGTTTCATCAGAATTCGTTAATGTTGCTAGTGGCTGACTTTCCGGAGTCCAATAACATGCTTCGCACGTAGGAGCCTTGATTTTCGGGGAGGTTGTTGAACAGCTAATGGAAAATAAACCGGAATTATTTGTCAGTATATATCCAACCAGCTGGAAAAAATGACGCCCTATAGCAAATTCTTTTTGCCAAAAGGGGTAGCTACCAGAATCCGTGCTGGACAGAAACAATATTCGCGAAGATAGCTATGGAGGAAGAAGGCTGGCCGGAGAAAGGTGGCGAGGATCATAGTGGACAACCCATGGACGTAGTTCCGTTGGAAAGGTATTTTTTATGTCAGTGTGATTGTAGTGTACAATTTCCCTTTCTGCATTGTTAGCTGAATTCTCATTTTTTTGATCCTAGGATCGTGGTTGAGGGGGAGGAAGAGAGTGATCTGCTGCCTATTTCACTCTCTGACCCAGCCATTCTGTTGCCGAAAATTGGGCAGACCTTCAATGAGGACTCTGATGGCTATGCGTTCTACAATCTGTACTCTAGGTTCACTGGTTTTGGTATAAGGAGATCCAAGAACAGATACAAAGATGGAGGCGTGAAGTCCATGCAAGAGTTCTGCTGCATTCGCGAGGTAAAAATCTTTAGTGTATTCTTTTTTTTTTGAAAACCATGGTTTCGTATTCTCGTAAGATTGGCAAGGTTCTATAGTGTGATGCGTAGGATCATCATTTCATAGGTTTTACGTAGTAAGGTGTTCCTGTAATTTATGCAGGGTAGAGATAATTCCGTCACTGGTCCGCCGACCAGGATAGGCTGCAAGGCTATGGTCAGGTTAAATCGTTCTTCTGAAAGTCAAAAGTGGAGAGTTTCTGCATTCGTTAGTGAGCACAACCATGAAATGAAACGGGACCTGCAGCATACTAAACACTTCCGGTCTCATAATTTCATTGATGAAGGGACAAAGAGGAACATAAAGGAAATGGTAGATAATGGGATGACACCTACAGCTATGTATGGATTACTTTCAGGTATGCACGGCGGGCCGTCCTTAACCCCTTTTACAAGGAGGGCTGTGACAAGAATGGCGTATGCCATCAGAAGGGATGAGTGTAGCAATGATGTGCAGAAGACACTGAATTTTTTTAGGGAAATGCAATGCCGTAGTAAGAATTTCTTTTACACCATACAGATTGATGGTGCTTCAAGGATTAAAAATATATTTTGGTGTCATTCTCTTTCCAGATTAAGTTTTGACCATTTTGGGGATGCAATCACTTTTGATACTACATATCAGACTAATAGGTACAACATGCCATTTGGGATTTTTGTCGGTGTAAATAACCATTTTCAAACAGCAATTTTTGGTTGCGCTTTGTTGAGGGAGGAGACAATCGAAGCATTCAAGTGGCTTTTCCAAACATTTACTGATGCAATGCATGGGAAGAGGCCTGCAGCAATTTTAACAGGTATATGTTTATTTGGATGGATCAATGGTGTGTTTAATGATATGTCTTCTGTTTTTAATCTCGAATGGTTGTGAACTTCTTTTTTAGATAACTGTCATCAAATGGAGGTGGCGATCAAAGCGGTTTGGCCTGAAACTATTCATAGAGTTTGCAAATGGCATGTTCTGAAGAATGCTAAGGAGAACTTGGGGAACATTTACAGTAAAAGAAGCAGTTTCAAACAGGAGTTCCACCGGGTGTTAAATGAACCCCAAACAGAGGCAGAGTTTGAGAAGGCATGGTCAGATTTAATGGAGCAGTACAATCTCGAGTCTAGCGTGTATTTGCGCAGGATGTGGGACATGAAGAAAAAATGGGCTCCAGATTACTTCAGGGAATTCTTTTATGCTAGGATGTCAACCACACAAAGAAGTGAGAGCATGAATCATGTTCTGAAGAAGTATGTAAAACCATCCTCTTCGCTACATGGATTTGCAAAGAGGTATGAGAATTTCTACAATGATAGGATTGAAGCGGAAGACGCTGAGGAGCATGATACATACAATGTATGTTTTTTTTAATTATTTCCGTATGATATATCGGTGTATGGTACTTTCTGCTGAACATGTTATAATATGCTTGTCATTTCTCGTGAACTGTAGGAGAAGGTTTCCACATTAACTAGCTCGCCCATTGAGAAACATGCTTCTCGGGTGTACACTAGGGGTGCATTTTCCAGGTTCAAGGAACAGTTCAAGCTAAGCTTTTCATTTATGGTTTATCATACTTCTGATCAGCATGTTCTGCAGCTAGTCCATATAGGTGATGACACATTGCAAAGTTGGGGCAGCAAAGAATTTAAGGTTCAGGTTGACCTGACTGAACAAGATCTGTCATGTGGATGCAAGCTTTTTGAACACTTGGGAATTATATGCTCCCATATTATCAGAGTAAGTTTGAATATTAAGCAGTTCTCATAACGCTGTTGTGTTTTTGTGTGTTAATGCATAGTGTTTTTGCAGGTTATGGTACAGTATGGTTTCACGGAAATACCGAAGAAGTATATCCTGAAGAGGTGGACAAAAGATGCTAGAGATTCAATCCCAAAGCACTTGGAGGAGTCTTACTTGAAGGATAAGGAGGCGGCATCATCGAGAACTTATCGGAACACCCTCCTGCACAAGTCTGCACTTGATATGGTTAGACTTGGTGGTACTAGTTCAGAAACATATGAGAAGACAGTGGAAGTGTTGACAAAGCTGATTGGAGAACTTCAGGTCATGTGTACTTCGCAAGTTGTAAACAACAAGGAAATTCACTGCGGAGATAGAACAATTGGGAAGAAACCTACTGGTGTGCAATTGGATGATAGTGTAGACAGTTCTGACTCGGAGCATGGAATGTCTGATGAATTTTGTGTAGCCGATGAGGACGGCATTGGACAGGATGTTTCTGCTGGTGAGGATTCAGTTGATGTGGACATGACTGATGTCAACGAAGAAGACATACTCCCTCCTGAGGTTAGAAGAAGTCGTGGACGACCGAGGAGTACCAGACTGATGTCGAAGGGAGAGACATCTAGCAAAGCAAAGAAGAAGAAGGCTAGTGAGAGTACCTCCAAGGACGAGTCGAAGAATCACGCCAAAGGAAAAAAAGAGTCAACGAAGCAGATTAGGTACTGCAAGCAATGTGGTGGTCATGGCCACTATAAGAGTACATGTGGTCGGAAATCTAGTTATGAGAGGAAGAAGTGAGTGTAATTATTCTGTTCAATGTTCTGCAGGGTTGATGTTAGCATTTCGTTTAGCATACAATGGAAATTTTATTATTATTAAATTTAGTCAGCAGAACATGTAGTTCATTTTGAATATTTACATTTGGCAAACATTGTAGGAAATTTGCGAACACTAGTTTTGTATTTTCCTATTTTCTGTTGTGCCTCAGAGTATGTGGTGAAGTTGTAGTCTTTGGAAGCATCCTATTGGAGCAGAACATGGCTAATTGTTTCTGCTAGAGGTAGTGTTGGACGAATCTTCGTGGGAGCCAAAAACGTTTTTCATCATGCTCTGCATCGGGAGCAGAACATGAAAAGAGTGCGTGTGGTGTTTTTTTAGATGGGGTTTAGCACGGTAGCAGAACATGGCTAGTAGTTTCTGCTGTTGTTCTGGTGGGATGTTTTCTCGGCAGCAGTACATGGCTAATAGTTTCTGCTGTTGTTTGGTGGGATGTATCCTCGTGGTAGCATAAATCAATTGGCATACTGTTCTGCTCTGGGAGCAGAACTTGTCTTTTTTTCGCCGGGCATGCACTGATTTGGATCGTGTCATGATCTGCTCTCTAAGTTTGGAGGAGAGCTGATCACGTAATGTACGGCAACAGAAGATGTAATTAGTTTGTAGTATTTAATTTGCCATAGGTGAACATCATGGATTTGATGTTGGGAAAATCTAAATTTATGATATTTGGAAGGTAAATGACAAATTCATTAATTTGGGAAGAGAATAGCAGAGAACATGAAGCCTTGAAAAATGTTGAATAAGAACAAGACAAATATTATTGGGACCTAACAAATTTTAGATAATAATGATGTAACTGAATGTAATCTTTATTTTGGCATGCTTGCATAACATGCTCAGATCTTGTTAGATAACTTCAGGCAGTGAACGACGAAGTCCGGCAGAATAGCTTCGTTGCCTTTGAATGACAATAAGTTGGACAGAAATTCCTTTCGAAGATCTCGTTGATCCTGTTGTTAATATAGAAAAATATTTATTATAAAAGGAAGCTACTTCAATGAAACTTAAGTTGAACCTAGTGTGTACATAAAACTCACAGATTTTGGGGGGTTCACAAGGCGAGTTCCATCCCAGTTTCGCATGTAGTAGAGCACGTGAAAGGCACATTCCAGCCTACCAAAATTGTTATTATTGTAATGACCATAAATGAGTAGAATGGAAAAATTAATTTGGATCAAATTGGGAGCATGAACTGGAACCTATTGTTTATAGCTGGGATGGCCGAAGGGAACTCAGAAACCCAGTTTGGTATATCCTCGTCCCAATCTGGAAATGCAAGCTTCATGCACTCCTTCAGAGCAGATGAAATGTGAAATTTTGTTTTTAAGTGTCTTTCTGCTGTATCCTCTGATCTTTTCGAGGCGTCTCTCAGTGGGTCAAGAATGCATAATTTTTTTTTCTCCATATCAAATGCGTATAGAGAATAGTGCAGTGGTTGAAGTAGTGGAATAAATATCTGCAAATTAATATTGACATTGCAAAAGTTAGTGGCCTGAACATTTGCACTTGATGTACTGAATTTTTCAAGATGCTGTTAATTATCAAACCAGGTGGCAACTAGGTACGTCATATGGTATC